AGCAGCATTTAGTTGCAAGTGCACAGAAGTATAATTCAAATTCTCATCATTGGTTAGGAGAACCTCTAAAGAAATGTCTGATGGGGGCCTCAACTTTACCTCCTCTGTCTCCTGCCATGCCTTGGTATGCTACAGGAACATTAAACAAATCCAACTAAAAGCCTCCAATATTCCTAGACTGTGCACTGATAAAACACCATAGTAAAAATACACAGAAGCTTCCTTATGTACAGCAACAGTTTCAGGACACCAGTGGGGTTAGAAGTATTGTCTCCACTTGGGTTAACTGTCTTAGCTACACAGTGCAAGACTGAGAAAAGGAGCAATAGCCTCAGTCTAAGGAAGGACAGGCTGGGGTCTGGCCAAGGTCCATCATTTCTTCTAGACAGTATGATGCAGTTCCCCACTTGCCAAGCTTTCTTCATCTGGACATTTTTGCTACTGGCAGTACGCTTCTGTAGTCCACAAAGAGCCAGTTTGAGTCTTTGATCTGTTCTTGAGACTAGGATTTCCTAACTAGCACCTTTCTTTTCCCATTCCTGAAAAGAAAAGGAAAAAAAGTTCTCGTATTAGCTTGCGAAGAAGCAGATGCCTCCCTCATGTCAAGCTTAACTACTGATAGACCAGCCCTGCCTGGATATTCACAGGTTGTTTGATAACTATGTAGGTGGTTTGCCATTACTTTCTAGTTTGCTTGTTTTTTTTCCCAATTTCCCAGCTTAGCCTACAGACTTGGTATTTCCTGGTGGTCCCCCATCCAGTTACTGCTACCAACTGCCATGATCTACCAAACCAAGAATGCTGCTTTGGTGGCTTTTTTTTTTTTTTGCCACATAATTCCAGTGGATATGCTTCCTTCATGCCTTACCTTTGCTTTCTGTAAAACTGTTCCTTTCCCTGTGACCATGACAGATAAAGGACGGTTTTTTAGTGCCACTGCTGAATTGACAGGTGAGTTTTCCGGGCTATTCATAGGATTGGCAACTTTCATCTATATTTAGGGAAGAAAGAGAACAGCTGCAATCACACAAACTACTATTTAAATTGTACATTTTATCAATTGCATATCAGAGTTCATGGCTTCTGATTGTAGATATGTGGAGTGTAGAAGTATAAATTAATGTTATATTTGGTCTTGGCAATTTATGGAAACAACCGACTCTGGTGTTGTGTTTACATGTAGCAAGAATGAAGCCAGAATTATTTCCAATTTTGGCCAAAGCACTAATGAGCAGCATATTATTGTATGTCTTACATTATCAGTGAATCAAGAACTCTGGCTTCTCTCTCTCCAAAAAGTCTCACCCATGGTTTATTCTTAGCTTATGATTTATTCATTAGGAGAGCAAGAACATGATTAACAAATTGATGACAGGTCATCTGATTTTGAATAGTTACTCCAACTGGCAGAAAGAGCCACGTTGGAGCAAATTGTGTGCATCGACACATTGTTCATTCACAAATGCAAATGTGGTAAATGTTATGCAGTGTTCTAAAATCAGTAGCTTAAATTGTAAATAATTATTCATTGTAATAGATGGATTTCTCCTTCATATTTTTTCATTTCCTGTTTTGACGCAGCAATTAAATATACTACCATGTTCACGGGCAGAGTATTTCTCAAAACCTAAAGCTAGGATGCTTTGCTTGCAAGCATCTAGCGGACCATAGCTGGAAACACCACATTCCCAAGCTTTATTTTTGAGCAGGAGATAGTGAAGAAACATTACTGTCCGTAGATCTATGTCAAAGATTTAGGTTTAAGTTTTGATATGCTTTGAAATGCAGATTGGTAACATGTCAATGCCAGAACATCTATCACTTCTTCAGATGTCATCCATGACTCCCCCACCCCCACCAAAACATTGTTAAAATTAAAAGAATTTTAATGAGAAACACCTGAAATTATACAAATTACCAAATCATGTGATTTAGCATGTGCAAGAATGCTAAATTCTCAGAGTCTTGTGAAATCACCAAAATCTATCATGAAATTTCATGTAATTTCAGAGACTCAAGCAATTCTGCAAAATGTCAAGCTATTTTATCTGGATTGGGTGAGAACCTAGGACTTGAAAAGATTCCGTGTTTCTACTTTGAAATGTCATAAACTAAGCAGAATCATTGGAAACCATAAAGACACAGATTTGCAAGCTAACTACAGGTCACTGGGTCATGCAAATGAAGCAGGGAATGGATCAGGAGTGGGAAACCAGATTGAGGAAAATGTAACGTCCATCCATTCCTTTCTTGCTAGTTGAACACCAATATTATTAACCTAACTTAGGAATGAAAGCATGACTCATATTGTTAACAATATTAACAATGAGGGTGAATAATTCTGACGCTAGTGTTTCAAAGCAACTCAGATTTTGTAAACCCTCTTTTAAGTTTTTTAAAAACATGAGAAAAGATTCAATCACAGAACTCCTGCCTCACACATATTTGAACAAGCTGCCCATTTCAGTTGCTTTCTTTGCTGAAAAGCATCCTACTGCTCCTCAAAGTAACATACTACATACTTTGGGGCTTGCATTTTCCAGGTGTGTGGTATCCACTGTGGTGCCAAGTGTAACTGGACCAGACTCTGCTTTCCTGAGATTCTCCTTTACTTCAACAAGACTCAGCTCCAAATCAACACGCTGATCTTCTTTCCTCTTACACTCTTCCTCTATCTCTTTCAGCTTCTGTTCCATTGTAGACAACTTATTCTTATCTGCCAAGGGAAGAACGTGGATTCAGAAAGTGATAGGCACAGTGCAATCGATTATTCTGCCTCCAGTTTTTTTTCTTTTTTCTGATTTATCTTCTCCTTCCCTTCAATTTATTTGTTATATAACAGAAGGAAAGCTTTATTTTCCTTTATTTAATATCCAACTTTTTCCCCCCAAAAATGGATTTAAGAAAGCTTACAAAATAAAACCTCATGGAACCTAAACTACAACCAACAACTCCCGAGAAAACAATCAGAAGAAAACAATATTAAAGGAACAGGTCTAGAAGAGCAACACAAACCTAAAATAATAAAGCTAACAATAGAGGCAAAAAAGAAAAAAAAAGACACTCTAGGCAAAGCCTCCTTAACTATCATGTTTTTTATTAGTCACATAAACAAAAATGTTGGGGTCTCATGGATCTCACTCAGTAGGGCATTCTACAAGAGAGGTACCTCTGCACAAAAAAGCCTATTTGTAACTTCTTCCCATTTTGCTTCATAGAATTAAAAGATCTGAGCTTCCTAGGGGTGGGGGTGGGGGTGGGGGAAAGAATGAGAGAGAGAGAGAGAGGGAGAGAGAAAGAGAGAGAGAATGAGAATATGGTAGGAATATATGGCAAAGATGACCTTTAAGGTACTTGCATCTCAAAACATTTAGCAACTTGAATAGACTCTAGAAAATCAAACTTGGAATGCAGAACAGCACAATTGCTCCAGTCAGCATGTTGACTTCAACTTGTTGCATCAGACACTTTTCATGGGCAGTCTTTGGACCATCACATTCCAAGGGAAGAAAGTTAGGGAAGATTGTGGAGAAAAGGAAAGCACACTACTTATCAAAGGAATCAAAATAGAATATCTGTCAAGACTATACGAAGCACTTCTTCTTCTGAAGAAGTGACACCAAACAGGTTCAGAACCATTTGTTGGCACCTCAGTCCTCATCCAGCAGTCTCACAAAACATGGCCACACCACTTAATGGCTAAAATGGTTGGCTGCTCTCTGCCAAGTACCAGTAAGTGAAAATGAGTTGAGCAATGGAAGTTTACCTGAGCAGTTTGTCAGCATCTCTTTCAGCTCCCTTTTCTCTTTTCGAAGCTTTGCCAGCTGAGAGCGGATTTCTTCTTTATCTTTCTCCAAACGATCTCTCTCCTCTGAATATCGCTTCACTTCAGCCTCTGTCCTGTTCTTGCCTAGTTTTGTTTCTACGGGGGCTACAGGGGCAGTTAATTTAATTACACGCTGTTAGTGCAGGAACCTTTTCCCATGACAGAAACTACAAACACTAGAACAATTGTTGAATATGGCTGGAAAATGAATAACAGCAGGTTTACATCTATCTACTGGGCTACTTCGGCCTGATACACAAGCCTTCTGTAAGCCATCAGGTAGAACTCTGTCCTAGCCTGCTGCCATGCAGGAGGGAGAGAGCCAGTGAAATAAGGTATCAGAGAGATAGATAAAAGATGTCCCAAACTAGCCTGCTGTTCACTTAATCCTCACCCACAATTAATCCACTGTATGTACATGATTTAACAAAGTATGGCCCTAGATAGAGAAGAGATTATCCAACCCTGTCATAAAAGCTTGAACTAAAGAAATATTATTGCAATCAGCATACCTACCTGTATTCATTACTTTGGGTTTTTCCACTTTTTCCTTTGGTGCAGCCATACCAATAGTGGTGTCGCTCTGAGGAAATATTTGCTGCTGTTGTGTCTGGATTTTTATTGCAGCTGTCCACAGAGATGGCAGCTCATCTATGTCTGGAGGCCTCTGTTGGAGAAGCAAGATGAGAAGGAATCTTTCCCATGTTAAATAGTCCAGGCTACCATTGAGAATAGAGGGGCAGCATCTGAATCCCCAGGGTAACAACCGGTGGGATTCAGTTAACAATGGCAATGGGGACTGCTGGGATTTCCGTTGCTAAGCAATGTGGTTACATGATATCGTGCTTTACGACTGCATCACTTAGCGATGGAAATTCCAGTCCCAATTACCACTATAACCTGAGGACTACCTGTACAAACTTCACAGATGGAATGTAACATCTGATAATACTATGGGCTGACCTTACTATGATCTGACCCAGTGCCTCTAAATTCCATATTCCTATAAAGGCTACAAACCCGCCTTCTTCTACCGATACTAGCACCTTCTGACATACAGAGTGTTCTTTACTGTAGCGTCTCCTTTCACACCAGGGACAAGACAGCAATCTGGTTTCTGTTATCTGTCTCCTTCTCCTTCAGAGTCATCAGGCTATTTCAATTCATCTGTTCTGTCTAATGTACTGTACATTTCAAAACCATCAGGAAAGGAAAGACTATTATTTGTGTCCCATGCATGAGATTAGATTGTTCTGTCACTGACAGTGTCTGTCCAAAGCCTTAAGCAGATACATTTCCCATTACCTGCTACCTTTGTATTTCAACTCCCATCATTCCAAAAGGCCATGATATCTAGAAACACTGGGAACTGCAGACCCAACACATGTGGAAGGTGTCAGCCTAGGAAGAGTATTGTAAGAATAAAACTTTATTTCTCTATAGTACCTGTTCTGGAATTTCCATTGCACTTCTATTCAGATCTGCTTCTTTTTGCAGCATGGCTGAGTCTTTCTCATAGTCCACTGAGCATTTGCTCATAGATCTTTGTGAAGATGGAGAAACTGAAGGAGAAGACTGACCCTGCTTTGGGCCAGCATCAGGCAGTAAGGATTTCACTGGAGTGAGGTCTAAATAGACTCTGTCCTGTTCCCCATCACATTTACTTCCATTTGGAGGCACAGCATCCTATAAAAGATGGCATGTTGTGCAATAACACTTTCACATGAAGAAAGCCATTTCATTCAGAATAAGAGAGACTTCCATTTGTCAGTGTGAATTCAACACCGCTATGCATCATTTAGTAATGTGGATTAACATTTCTTGATGAATTCAATAAATGAATGAAAGTCAATTCAGCATGACTTTCTTTAAATATTACTGACAATAAATCACTTTGCAATCCCCCCCCCCGCCCATCTCAATTTTCAGTGATTGCTGCTCAGAATGAGAAACGAAATGGCCTGTTCTGCAAAAACCTCACCTTGGTTGCCTCTGGGACGTCCACATCGTCATAGAGTTCTTCTTGGTTCCCAATTCTCTTTGGCAAGTTGTCAACGTAAGTGTTGGGTTCAGAGTGCTTTCTCTGCATTAAGCTGGAAAGCATGAAAGCAAACATGCTATCATAGGGTGTTAAAGCAGCACCAATAACAGCTCTTAATATCCTGACAGTTACTGTCTATCTTTGGATGTGGCAACTACTCCTGACTTCTACCTTCTATCAGGCACCCAAGACTTTGCAGTCCAATGAAGCAGGCACCCTGTAAAACACATTCCTTTTGTTGTGTACAACAAATAGCAAAGCACTGGCTCCTATCAGCAAGAGGCCAAGTGTTTTGCACACCTGTGTAATCATGCAACAAGGGGTCCAGCATAGTTTTCCAAGAATTCTAGTTTTAATTCCAAATGTTCGTGTCTCAAAACATTTGGCGGGCTTCAGGTTAGAAAGTTAAAATTGTTGTATTTATCTGAAATACAATAATTTGTATTTCCATTCTTTTTTTTTTTCTTCTTTCTTTAAAACAGTGGGAAAATATTTTTTTTTCCTGTCCAATCTTCCCTTTTTAAGGGGTGGCATCTTAATTCAGAGGTCATCTTCCTTTGGGTAAATATGGGAAGTAACCATTCAGATACTTTCTTTTCCTTTCTTTTTCTTTAGAACGGCAATTTCATTTGAATGTGTCATATATACGATCTATGTATACATACTACAGCTAACTCTTTTCCGACCGTTTCTTTCTGCTAGCAGCAAAAATCCCACTGAATTCTCCATTTATTATTTTCCAGTAAAAAACAAAATCAAAAGAACAAAAAACCAAAACTCTTGTTTAATAGGATCAATAGATACTAGGAAACCACTATAAGGAAACAGATTCTGAATGGCAAACTTGGTACCACAGTAACTTACAATAATGAGTTCTTTGCTGCATTGACAATGCAGGAAACTCTGTCGGCATCAACGTAATCATAAGTGAGTTCCTCTGGATCTGTTTTAGAGCCAGATTCTGACAAAAGGACACCAAGCCAGTGGCCCATTTCTTCAGAAGACTTTGTCTGTTAAATAAATGGAAATAGAACCAGCTGTTATAGCTGTAGGCATGGTCTTCAGTTCAAGTCTCTTCTAATCAGTGGATTAATGGACTTCTAATCAGTGGACCTCTTCTAATCCAATGGCTTGGATCCAAAGAAAAGTTGGAAGCAAGTAGAAGAAAAGACAAATTTTGCACCTTTCTCCACTCAGCAATGCCTCAAAAATATTTTCTTGAAGAGTTGAACTCTTTGCTACTTTGCGGTGAGCAAACCAATTTGCTCATTGGGCAAAGAGATCTTACTTGAGACAGAATAGGGACAGGTGGGAGAAGGAAGTGAGGAAATCATGTTCTGCCCAAATCCCATAGAAAGGAAACTGTATTAGGATGTGCTTGAAATTCAAAGATTCATAGACCATATAGACATTTCATTCTTTAAAAATGTGTGTGAAAATTCTATATTCAAGGTAGGATTTGTCCTGGAATAATAAATGAGAGTTTAGCTGCCCCAGGGGGAAAAATATGCCAGAATTTCAAAAAAGTATTTCATCTAAAGATCTTTCTTTTTTTCCCCCAGAAGGTGGCACTAATTTGATTTTCTAAACAATTTTGTACCAGATGGGTCCTAAAATTGAGATTAAAATTTGGTGGTGAAAGATGAAGAAAAGCATCACAGGCAACCTCTACAAACCAAGTTGAGGAAAAAAAATGCTGAAATGTTCAACACAATACAGACACTAGCCTTTTGATTTGTATCCTGATGTCAGATGCAACCCATAAGTCGCAGGGATTGCGTGACCTCTATGGATGCCTATGGAAAGCATTCTGTAAGGACCATGAAAGATCTATTGAGAAATTATTTTATAATTTGTAGCTGCCTTGAATTAAAATGCTGAATCCACACAGTACCTTAACTTTGTGAATGAAGCTAATTTGAAATAACTGCTGAAGTGGCCCTTATTCTAGCTCCATCAACCTCAGCAATTTGTCTGCTAAACAAAACAATACTCAGAGTCTCTGGCAGTGACTGGCAATCCAACCCTTGGCTGCAAATATTCCTCCCACTACAGAATGCAGGAAATTTGTCACATTTTCCTCCTCCTACTCAAATGTTGCTGATGTCAGAGAATCTAAGATTAGCAATAAACAAAAAACAACTTCAGTGAAAGTAACCGAGGTGAGCAACTTGCTGTTTTTCAAATCAACTTTTCCTCTGGGGTAAATTAAATGTAATTCAAGGGAGATTACAGTAGATTAAGATTACATTTATTTACATCTATAGTTAATCCATCTATCCGAGTATTCAAAAAAGGGTGAAAGTTACAGGATCAAGATTAGAAGATGAAATTTGAGTTTATACATCCCCGTATATGATGTAATGGATTATGTCTGAATTTCTTTTGTTTCACACGATGTAGATGCTATAATATTCTGGGCAGAACTCAAGAAAGGGGAAGGGGGAGGGAATATTACTGAGAGTATTCAGTGTCACAAATTGTTTTAATGTAAATTATGTGCACAAGTTAAAGCTGAACCAGCTAACTACACATTATATTGCAGGGTGGAGCATTTGCAATCTGTGGACAGGCTGTGAACTCTGGCCTAATTTTAGATACTTCCAAAGTTGTTTTACTCTCTTGTTCCTTTTTTCCCCTTTCCTCCAGCATTCTTGACCTCACAATATCATTCCTATGTTCTAGCTTCAAGTACTTTCTTTCCTATGTATGTTTGTAGGCATGAGTAAGAAAGAGAATATGCCATTTGGAAGTGGAGACAGGGTGGAAACAGCCAAAATGGAAAAAGAAGTTGGGCCCTCAGCCTGAACTTTTTTTAAAAAATAAAAAGATTAAAAAGTAAATAGTGCGAGGTAGGACAAAAGGTCCTGGGTAAGGAATCATTAGAAGCAGCTTCATATTTATTTATTTTTAAATGCATAATCCACTTATTGAACTGTAAATTTGCCGGTGTAGTGCTCAATGGATTGTTTTCCCCCCTCACAGATCTAACAACTGTTATTTTAGGCAATTCCCAAAACAGAGAGGAAGCCTACATGCCAATCAATGAAAAAAGCTCAAGATTTCTACAGGCTTTAAAAGTAGGGTCATTTGGGAAGCAGATGAACCTAGCAAATAATAAGGTATGGGGAGAACAAAGAAAAGGGGAAGGGAAGGGTCCCACTTACCATGAGTTTTGACCCTGTTGTACCAGCATGATAATCTAAAAGTTTTCTCCAAAGGACTACATCCTTGAGGTGAAAACTGGTTCTATACTGCTGTGCCCTCCATCTCTTTCTGGGAATTCAAGCGTTGGGGATTTATTGTTAGTATTATTTTCCTGCTGTTTAAAATTACACTATGGTTGCTGTTTTAATTATAGTGCTACATCTAAAATTACAGGTATTATTTTGTCACAATAAGTTACCTTCTGGACTGATTTGGCTGAAATGTAAGGAAAATGAATTAAATGTTCATTTTCCTCTCCCTCACGCACTTTCTGTTTTATATTTCTATGCTACTCAATGAAACAAGATTTGGATATGAGTCGTAAGTTACTGAAATTGGCTATGCACAGAAAGAAAGCTAAATCCTTTAAATGGCTTCCAACACAGCCTTATGATACATTCCCATGAATGGCTACTAAGCTGGTGTTCACCAGCTTCTGGAGAGAATGACATTCATACCTCTAACATGGCCAATTCTTCACCATTGTGCCGGATCCGAAATGAGTAGAAATGGTCAGGACTTGGGTCTGGGATAATTTCACAGCCCACCAAGTTCAAAGGCTGTTGAGCTGCTTTGTTTCTGTTTTTGTCCTGGTAGAAGTGGAGCTGGCCATCCTTCACATGGCACCAGCAGGATTTCCACTGGCTGTTCACTAGTACATTCAAATACGCTGTGAAGAATGTAATGTTGTTTTAGTAATATTTTCCTTCTTAGTGGAACCCAAAAGTTCTCTTTCAATTCCCCTCTATAGATAATCTGTTGTCAGTGGATAAGAACATGCTAAAGTACACAATTTCCCTACCCTGGGCAGGGTGCTAGACCAAAAGACCTCCAGGACTCCACCATGAATACATTAATCAAACCATCATATAAACTGAGATCCAAATTCTGATATTTAAAAATACCTATTGTAACTAATTAATAATTGAACTATCACTATCCAACTTTTAACCCCCAGCGAAATGCAATCTATGCAATATAAATAAGTTATGACTAAATTTTGGATTGCATTTTGAGCAAAAAAAAAATATTAACGACAAGAAGAAGAAGCTGGATATTATGTTACAAAAAATGTAGTCACCCTCAGAATTCTCCCAAGTGTAATACTGTACGTTGTATGTATTTTTATAAGAACAAAAGGAGCATTGGATGCACAGTCATGCTTTCTATTATTATTATTAATTTTGGGGGGGGGGTCACAATGGCTATACTAAAGTTCTCCTCTTGGATCATTCTCTAGGGCTGTCTTCCCTGCAAGTGACAGGGATTCAAACAACACAGAAAAGTTTGAGCATTTCATAAAGGTCACTTACTGCAAGTATCCAAAGATCTCTCTGGACTGTCCAGGGAGGCAGATTTCTTTCTCCCAAGGTTCATCAAGTTGCTCAGTTTTAACCCAGGTGTGGATTTCTTCTTAGCTAAATAAGTAAGAAATAAAAAAGCTACATATAATAAAAGCAACATACACCAAGTGTTATTCTATTGCTGAATAAAATGATAATTAGCATCTCATTATAAAGTGGATGCAATTTCATACAGGATCCATCTTCACAACAGTATGAAGAATACTTCCACAACCATATCAGTTTTGGATAACTCCAAGATTTTAAAAAACAAACCATGTTTTCTGCTATTTTCTGAATATGAAACTGATCTTTTATAGGCTCAGACCCCATAATGACCCAGACACTGATTCCTTCTTGGAAATGCTTGAAGGAAAACAAAAGGGTTACAGAAATGTTAACCTACTTCTGTGCCTGAAGATATTTAGCTGTCCTCGGTTGATTGATTGATTGATGGATGGATGATATCTTGTTAACTATGAAATATGTAAGTTAGGGATGGGGCAAGTATTCAGAAAGGGAGGTATGAAAAGTACACTTGTTATGTTGGAAAAAACGCATCCTATTTTAAGTCAGCTTGGGTCCATAACTCAAAAGAGAGCTTGCTGTTTATACTTCTCAGCGTGTCTGAAGTATCTCATCAGCATATTTTTGAGTAGTTTGCAAGGAACTACCTACCCATTTGGTGTACAGTGCTGTTGCTTACTCATTCTATTCAACTTGCCTTACAGTGGAGTAGACCCTCCTTTCTTCATGTCTGCATAGACTCTCCCTCAAAGCTGTATGAAAGCATCAACCACCAGCCCTTGAGCTGGCAGAAAAGTATGCTAGCATAAACTGTGCTGCCCCCACTGCTGATCCTTATTCTGCCACAATGAGGCCATTAAATGGTACTGTTCTTACTTATTGTGGCCAAGGTAGGGAACGGAAATGGTGGATCCCTCAGGTTCATCTCCTGCCCACCAAGCGTTATAACTCTCTCCAACTCATCCCAAACCCCATAGGACAGGATGGGACAAGTTTAGACAGATACTTAGAACAGTGGGGTTAGCAACTAGTGGCAGGTGCTAAGGTGAGCTGTGGAGGGAGCTCTCTCAATGTCCTCACAACCTTTTCTGCCTGTTAGCTATCAATCAAGCTATTTCTGCATTCGGCTAAATCTGGGTTCAGAAACAGACTAGCTGACAGATAACAGGCACAGAGGATGGGCACGGGGTGAAGTACTTGTTAGCTGAATACCAGGCTATTTTGTGCACAGGAATAATGCTCTTCTGAAATAGCACTAACTCTATATTAAGAAACAGCAAACCACAGATAAAAAGCCCAGAGGGGCACGTGGGAGGAAGTGATCACAGTGAGTAAGCTCCACCCATAACTAGTGCTGCAAGAGAATGGTAGTACAGGCAGTGAATGACCAGGAGTCCAGTTCTGACCTCAGAGTTAGTAATACTGGGAAGTAGCTGGTGGATGATCATGGAGAACACACGTGCCAGAGTAGACTTCTGGAATTTTGCCATTTTGCTTGGCCCAACAGTAACCATAGCATCTAGTGCCATCAAAGTCAGACTGGAGTAAACAAAATGAGGTTGCCCCTCCCAAGGGCAACTTAAGTAACTATGGTGCACTGCACAGATGCAGGAACTACTGCTACATGGTCCTGGGAGCATTCACCAATCAGGAGGAAGTTATATTGTTCTTGTGCAAGTCCTCAAAAATAATGACAATAATAAACATAATAAGAAATACAGCCATACAAAACCCTTGTCCACCATAGCAGTGGAAAACCTTTATTGCACCTAGTGAATTAAGAGAACTGATGGGACACACCCAACTGTCTCCCAGGACAGGCCTTCACGCTTTCAAAAGAATCGTAATCCTGTTTAAAAATTAGGTCTACAGCTCTTTCAGAAGAGTGCTAAGTCCGTGTTTATTAGGACAAGCTCTTCAGAGCACCAGTCAAACGTTACCAGGGCAGATGATTCTGCAGAAGGCAGGCATCTGCCATCCATTCCCAAATGGCCATGGAGAACAACTCCCAATAACTAGAGGGAAGGGATATGCCTGTAGTAGCCTAAAGCAACAAGCTGAGCAGATCCTAGGTCCAAACCACATCATCAGCTAAATGGTCAGTGAAGTGTGCCAGATTATGTCCGCAGCAAAAATTGCATTGGGAGAAGAGACCATTTTCAAATGCCTCACAGTCCGGGGATGAGACAAAGGCCACGATGAGTACATGGCAGAAAAAAATGCTAAAGCATGGTCATGGTTATGGGAAAGTGAGGAAGAGTCTTGTGATTAAAAGCTGAGTTCTTTTCCTTTGAATCTTCCTCTTTGCTGAGGAATTGGGGAAAGTATCTGTGTTTGCAAGCATTCCTCTTCAAGTATTTGCAAAGCTAATCAAGTTTTTACAACAATCTGCAAGGGATGACTGAAAACCCAGATGAGGTCTGTGGCATATAGAGGGTGTTCACCCTGTTTTAATGTAGTTGTCCTTTTCTGTTCCTGTTTACATGAAATCCTTTCTTGCCATTTTGGTTTACTTTAATTCTCAGGACGAATACAGAGACAATAGTTCATGCAATATTCTGCAATATATTCTTGGCATGTAAGTTCTTGATAAGCGGCTAGGTTTACTGCAATTGACCAACAATTTAACATAGCTGGTACAAGCTTCTGGCTTACTAGTACTGTTTCTAGTGCATCGGTTCCAGAAAAAATTATCCAGATAATAATCAAATCTAAAACATGCTTACTCTCAAATTCCAAAAAATTAAACAACATTTAGTGTCAAGTAGGACATCTCCTCTTTCTGACATTATTCTGAGTGGCAAAGGAATCAGGATATAATACCTTCATTCATTATTATGCGTGGTGGACATGTAAAAAAGCTACAAAAAATTGGGTTCAAATACAGTTAATAGGATTTTCAAGATTAACATTCAATTGAAGCCAGAACTTTTCCTTTTAGGACTGATAGATACACAGTTAGAAAAAAGTCATGGAAGATTATTTCAATATATGATTACCGGGGCGAGATTATTATATGCACAAAGATGGAAAGATTCGACACTACCCACTATGGAGGAATGGTTGGTGAAACTGACAGATCTAGCTGAGACGGATAAACTAACTTCCTTGATTAGAGAAAAGACAATATCTACATTTATTGGTAACTGGAAACCCCTTATGGACTTTTTGCATTAAAAAAAATGAATTTGTGATTTATGGCTTTGATGATTAGACAGGATAGACTACAGAAAGAAGAGAATCATGATGTAACTTTAGAGACAGGTTAACATATAATTGTACTTATAACTGTACTTTGTATCTTTTTTCTTTATTTTCTATTTTTCTTTTACTTTTGTTCTTTGCTTGAACTTTTAGCTTTCTCTTTGATTTCTTTTTCTTTTTTCTTCCTTACTATATATTCGTATTAGTTTCTATCTTCCTTTTTAAAAGTTTTAATAAAAATTATATATGAAATAAAGGATATAATGCCTTCATTTTAAAAACTGCCAAAAATGGCTGAATTCCCTCTTTTGGGAAGGGATAATAGTTTAGCAGGAGAACATAAGCATTGCACACAGAAGGCCCCACATTTGATTCCTGGTATTTAATTAAAAATTCAAATAGGAGGAGTTGGGAAAGATCTCTTTTTGCTCAAGGCCTTGGATAACCATTGCCAATCAAAACAGACAGTAATGGATTAGACTGACAAATAGGTATGTGGCAGTTTTCTATGTTCTCCAAGATAAATTATTTCATTATCCCTGGTAGAAGATATATAGTTCAATTAGTGTGGAGAACAAATTAACTTGGCAGAGAAGCTCCTCTAACCAATTCCCCTTCAACCAGGCAACCTGCAAATTCAGTATAAAGCAGAGACAGCTGCTTTAATTTCTTTCTCCCTTCTCCTAATTCAGCTTCCTTCAATTGGGAGTCCTCCAGATGTGCTGGGACTACAACTCCCAACATATATATATATATGAAGGATACTAGGTTGGGGAAACTTTCTGAATTCAAAGTCACATTACCATCCTTTGTTTCCATCAGTTCCATGTGACTCTCGGTGCTGCTTCCACTCTCTGATGCCCCCAAATATCTCTCTGATGGGTCCACCTGCAAAGAAGAAAAGACAGTCTCCATCACCAAGGTTGGGAAAATGATAAAATATTGGGCTGAAGTACTCTTCTGCCTGATGGAAAATTATATTTTGCCTTTACCCAATGTGTTTGAGGCAACGTCAGATAACCATGGACGGTACAATAAAAAGCATGAATATGGATGTAACTATTGCTCTAGGAACGATAACTCATTTACAAATCCACACTAAATAAGCAGCTGCTTCTTTCTTTTTTTATTTGATTGCAGGCAAACAGCAATGCAACTTGATTGGAACCACTATGCACACAAATGAAGAAGTTTAATTCTTCCCCAAGCTTCCTCTTTTATAACATTCATTGCCCAAAGGTGTATTGGTTGACTGGGTTAAGAAATATGTTCATTTAAGTATAATACTGTTACTAAAATATAAAGAAGTACAACAGTAAGTTCTATGAAATATCCGTTTGTTATCAGTTTAATTCACCAAAGCTTTCTTTTTGATGCTCCAGCAGGAAATCTATTGGGGAAAAAAATGTTCATTATATCCAGGAAAATGCAGCTCCTTTTAGGACACAGAAACATTATAGAATTCTGGAGGTAAGTTCATTCTGAAGAAGAATTAATCATATAAAATTAAGAGGGGAAAGTCTTTTCATGGTAGCCAAGCCATGTGAAAAAGGGAACTTCAAAAACCTCCTTGGCATCAGTTGACAAAACAAATGAGCTGGGTATTACCAAAATAATGATCAGGCCACTCCTTAAAACTCCACATGAACTAGCAGCTTCTTGTAGATATTTAAAAGCATAAGGAATCCTGCAGAGCCCAATTTAGTGGCATGATGTAGTGAAACAATTTAGTGGTACTATTTCAGCCTGTTTTGCTGGGTGGGGGCATCTAGGATTGTAGAGTTAGCAGTTTGCCTCCCAGAGCCCTTCAACCCCCATTTTGTTGTTGTTGTTTAGTCGTTAAGTCGTGTCCGACTCTTCGTGACCCCATGAACCATATTGCGCCAGGCCTTCCTGTCCTTCACTGCCTCCCTGAGTTTGCTCAGTTTCATGCTCATCAACCCCCATTCCCACCCTTAAAACAAATTGTTGGGCTCATTTCTATGAAATGAATGAGTTAAGACTCATCCATGGATACTGAACACCATCAATCACTTTCGTAGAACAAGTCCAAGTTGGAATAGAGGTGAACAATTTAATCAGCAAATTGTTTTGCAAATACATCACAGCAGGTTATTGAGAACACTCCCTTCTGCTCTGCAGCTCAGAACATAACAGCTCCAACTGAAACAACATCAACAACTCCATTAGGCAATTCTGTGCTGAGACACCAGTAGGAAAGAAGGCCTCATTGCCATCAGTATAGCCTTTAAATGGGCTCTAGGCAATGTTTGACTGAATTTGTTCCATGTTTTCCATCCCAGATGCTTTCCTTAGGCTTCTGTGCTCAGTAAGGGATGTCTGTGGGCTCCACGTCACTTTTTGATAACCAATTCAACAGAAACAGTCAAATAGCATTCTACCGATTCTGGGTATAAAATAAGATAAAAACAGGAAGGTAAATCTTTGAAAAAGCTTAAGAACTAAAAAACCCCAGTCCTCACAAAGAAATACCAAAAGCGGGGGGGGGGGAAGCACCCTGAGAACCTGACTCTTCCTGTTTTTATGGTATAATGTCTTCATCTGGTGCAGCTCTCATCATACCCTCCTCCCAGTTCACCAAAATGGAGTGGCCCCTGCCCTAAGTACTTCAGAAAATCAAGGAGCCTAAGACCCATAGAATAGTAAAACGAAAAGTCGTAGAAATTACCGGCTCATTCCATAGTTGACCAGAGATTCCACAGTTGACCAGAGGTAGTCAACCAAAGATTGACTACTGTAGCTGCTGAAAAGTGTCATAAAGCATTCAGAAATTTTCCTGAGATACTTTCAGTTTGGGGGGCACACCATTTCTTCTCTATACACAGAGTCCCAAATAAATACAGAATCTGATTAAAAAATAATCTGCCTGTGACTTCTTTTGAACTTCCTTACCACTTTCATCTTGGTCAGCAAAATCCAAGGTGAAAGACTGCTTTGCTAGGACACAGGAGAGATATTAACTGAGATAGACAATGGTTTCCATTGTTCCTAGTGAGAGAGCCCCAATGTAAATGTTGGAGCCCCCTTCCGCAGCATAACAAATTAGAGGAAAATTAAGGCCATCTCCAAGACCAATTCTATCAGCTCAGGCTGGGAGAATGCTGGTAACTGGCAATAACCCACTTGAATCCCAAACCTCTCTCTTGTCTCACCAGCAGGTACTGTCTATAGTCCAAATGTTGAAACTAAATGACTTGAGTATCTTGACAGTTCTCTGTAACTCCTCCAATCCACCTAACAAATCTTACTAACTGCTATACTCAAAAACATGGTTAGCACTTCTGCGTAAAGTAACTCCTTTTCTTTAGTCACCTTGTCTCTTTCTGAGTAACACATGATAGATCAACTTGTTAATCAAGAGTTAAACCCTGGATAAAGGAGCTCTGACCATTTATTTATTTATTTATTGACTGACTGACTGACTGACTGACTGACTGACTATATTTGTATGGGACTCATTCCTGAAGGCTTGGAGTGGCTAACAATAAGAAACTTCATTAAAAAAACCTCCTTAATAAAAATAAACCCACTAAAAATATAATAAAAATTTCAACAGCACCATGGAGAATTAAAAAAAATGAAGTCATGTGCCCACCAATGCAACCCAACATTTAAAGCATGCCTTCCTCTCGGACTAGATGGAAATCCAGGTCTTAACTGCTCTTCTGAAACCCAAGAAGGAAGAGGTAGACTGGATTTCAAAGCATGGAGGCAACCATCAAAAGTATCTGCTTCCTACATCCTGTCAGATGGCATTCTTTGACAGATAGGACCTGGATGGAACTGGCACTGTTCAATCTGATTAGACAGGCAGATGACTATTTGTCAGAATCCTCGCAAGATTTTATAATAGATTATTAGATGGCTAGTTTAAAAAGAAAAAAAAATGGTTTTTTACATGCTGTG